AAGAGTCCCTGTCCCATCTAATAAAGGGTAAAAAGCCCCCAAAAATATATTTATAACATTTAAAAGTTATGGTAAGTTATATGGTATGCATCCTAACCACCAGGACACCCAACATTTTGGGGAAGGCCCTTTCCTGTTTCAACGTAAAGCCCCACACAGAAATGGTTTTCCCTGTTGGTTGTGGAAGAACTTGACAGACCCCTGACCTGAACCCCATCCAACACCTTCTGGATGAACTGGAACACCAACTGCCAGTCAGGCCTTATTGCCCAACATTAGTAATCCTGTTGTAGGCGAATGAGAGCAAATCGCTTTGCCAGGTTCCCAAATCTTGTGGAAAACCTTCCCAGAACTGCAGAGGCTGTACTAGCACCATGAGGGATTTAGATTGGGAGATGTTCTATCACATATGGACATAATGTCAGGGTGTCCACATACTTTTGGCCATATAGTGCACAATACCTGTCCCTTTTTTTGCAGATCAACTCAAGGTCATTTAAGTAGTAAACACACACGCAAATATATAAAAGAGAGAAGTAAATACTTAGGTTTACAGAGGTAGGATGGTGTGAGTGTATGAGTCTGTAGGTAAACTGAAGAAACTGCTTCCAGCACCGTACAGCTTCCCGTAAAAGATTAGACCTTTATTGAGAAAATTCCAGATCGGCTTATGGCCTCACGACCCGCTGTCTCCAACCGGGCCGATTATTGAATACACACACAAACACACCGACACACACACATACACACACACACACACACAAACACAACACATGGGGAGCAACTGGAGCCCTGTTGTGAGGCGACATTGATGACGCGTGTTGGATGGGATTATCTCTCCAGCTGTACTCTCACACCCGTGGAGAAGTGAGGCTCATTTGGACCCCAAAAAGCTCTCTGAGGTTTTTCCACACACTGATGAAACCCCTGTCTGCTTTCTTTCTGGAAAGTTCTGAAGCGTACCAAGCATCACTAAACCACAAAAATGTGCGTCATGTCATGTGTCCTTCTTCTCCATAATTACTTGGTTCATATATGCATCTACATACAGGGTGCAGACTGCTGGACTTCAGTCTGCACCCTGTAGCAGAGAGACTGATCAGAAGAGTCAGGTTCATGCATTCTTAATGGCCAAGTACTCAGATCATATAGAGGCCAGAAAGTGGCTTTGAAATGGGTCACGCGCTGCAGGAATAAGACAGCGCCGCGTCCCCTAACATAACCTAGTACAATGTCTCCCTCTGTTGGTCTGATGGAGACATTTCATAGCTTTGATTTATGGCAGCAGTTTAAAGGAAGACCCCCACTGAGTTTAAGTGCCTTTTTCTTACAGTCAAAGTAAGACAGTCACTATTTATTACACTATTAGCAACTTTTTTCCAAAAACTAGAAAACAGCTTGATGTCTTAACAATGTCCAACCTGGTTCATTAACAATGAATGTAAGACGCATAGATTGCTTTTAAGTTAAAAACTTATACAGGCTGACATTCAATGGTAAGTAGTTTTTCGATGTCATTAATTTAGCGATGGAAAGTAGAACAAAGTCAGTGAATACAGCTGCACGTGAATTTCAGTTCAATATGAAATCAAATATAACTGTTTTCAATATAACCACTGTAGCTAATTAGCATTGCCTTAAAAGAAAATACCAACAACAAATCTCAAAGAAGTAAATATTAATTCAGATTTAAATTCACACTGGCACACAGCACTGACAGTAGAATCCCATAATTAAATAAAAATAGGGATGTGGGTAGACATACGTATACTGAACTGCTATTTTGTAGACATGTTTAAACAATAATGTGTTTAGAGCTTAGATTTAGGGTTAGGTTGGATTAGGATGCATAATCAATGTTTAGACCTTTTTTTTTGTCTCAGCATGGAAAGAGCTCCAGGAACTCCAAAGGAATTGTGTTAAGGAAGTTAAACATTTTCTAACCCATCAACCCACAAGATGCTTCTACTCTACATAACAGTACTACCAAAGTGCATTTTGGTAAAAACTAATCATTGTTATGGCATGTCAGATGACATTACCTTGATCACATTTGGCAAGAATAAAAGTCCTCTCATGCACTTCTTGGCTAATATAATAAACTCTGTGTAGGTGGGATGTGATCACATGGTGAGAACCAATATTACATTTTCAACCTCACTTTACAGCACTGTACTCCAAGAGGCTTTATTGCACTTCCCTGTAGGGGTTTCTAAGTCTAGTGAATTGCACACTGCACCTGTGGCGGAAGAAGTATTCAGACCCTTTATTTAAAATTGTATTTTTACTTGCTTTTCTAGGCAGTGTACTATTTTAATTTATTAAAATTGAATTATCTGTTTCTGTTCTTGTCAACTGTGAAGTCTTTTGGAACTTCTGTTTTGAAAATTGTTATATAAAAAGTTAATTAATAAATGCTTATTTTTATTTATTATTATTATTATTATTATGTTAGTACTAGAGTAGTAAGTACATTATAAGTTAAAGTAGTAATACCACAATGTACAAATACTCTACTATAAGTAAAAGCGATTAATATTACAGCTGCATTAATGTCTACGTTGTATTTTACTGCTGCAGATTTGACAGTTACTAATTAGGTGTTAGACAGATCTAGTGGAATAAAAAGTACAATATTTGCCTCTGAGGTGTAGTGGAGTATAAGTAGCATGCTTGTGCCTGTATTATAATTACTTAACCCCCACAGAGATGTAAAGCCCTGCAGTGACCAGCAGGGGGCAGTCTCAGTCTGATCTTTCTGACGCCTGTCACTCATGAGGAGACAGTATGAACAAAGTTTACAAGTCCAACTGGTTAGATACGATACTGTGCACTGACATGTATCACATGATATTTGATGTAGCCTATGTTCCAACACATTATCACACACAAACACACACACATACACACACATCTTGACTACCTGTCAGAGCAGGTGAGCAGGTTCCTCATAAATAGATCTGAACAAGCAAGAGTCTCAACAAATACACCAGTCTATTAAAGTCTTTAAAAGAGGCTTTACTGTTATATTGCCAGATATACATGTTAAAAGTTGCCTCATACATGTTTTATGTATTTTACTGTATATCTGTCACAGAGAGGAAAGGCCTCCTTCATTATCATATTGTTGCCATGGTGTTTCAAACTCAGGGCATGCTCCAGAAGAAAACCATTCATGACATGAAGAAGTGATAGGTGCATGACTCATTGGGACACTATATGACACCTAATGTAGAGGAGAGAATACCAGTTTGTTGTTAATAGTTCGACTCTGGATATTTGCTCAGGCTGCATTTCTTTGAGACGATGAGCTGTGTTGCTCCCATGAGGAGGATTCTGAATGACAAAGGTAAGACCTGCTATGCAATTTTAAACAGCCCATCATCGTCTATGCAGATTACACTAAGCTGCTGTAGCCTTTTCTCCCAGTCCTGCCTTTCTAAAGTGGACTTTCTCCTGCGGAGGATAGGAAACTGCTACACACTCATTAAATCACTGCTGTTTGATATTCATTAATTTATTCCATTTGCACTGACATGGCCTTATTGGACACGTTGCACATTTCTGGTCAATTCCAACTTTGTGCTTAAACATTGATGAGTGCCGTAAAAGCCGATTACACTCTGTCTGTGTTTCTCTCTATTAATCCAGTTTAATTAGAGGCTAGTGGTCCCTGGCACTTTTTAGGATGTTAATCCTTATGTGCCAGTTCGTCTCAAGTGAAGTGATGTCTTCTGAACACCCACATCACTGGTTCAAACCACGTCCTTCAAACATGTCTACCATTACTTCAACTTTATTTTGTCCCTGGAGGGCAATGGGTTTTTCCAGCAAGGTATAGTAGAGTACAACACAGACTTACAGTCCAGTAAGGGGGAGGGAAGGCTCCCTAAATGCAGTGGGCTGTAGTAGTCGCTGGACTTCAAAGCCACAGCAGCAATAACTTCTAAAATTTACAAGACAAATTAAACAAGTATGTGCAGAATATGACCTTATAAATGCACAAAGAGGCAGAGGTGCTGCCAAGACCACCCTAAAACAATCGCCGGCCCTCCCCCATGAATAGTCTCATATGCATAATATGATTCAGAGTAATGAGTACTGTATGCATAATATGCTTTCATTTAAATCAATAATGTATACGTTTTATAATAGTTCATGTGAAGGAAAATCACAAATGCACAGCCAGGCTTTTGGTTGTGGTGTGCCACCCCAAGACACCCCCATGGAAAATGTCTACAATAACAGTGACCAGGCATGTTGATTACATGATCAACATCTCTGCCATCATAACACAATCGACCATCAACAAAGGAATAGACGCCATTATCATCATCATTAATCAGACATCATCTTCATCATGAACAACATCATCAAATCATCACAACTACACACTACACGCTGAGCAAAGTGAGCAACCTTGGATACTAACTCTTCCCAAGGATCCAAACCAAATTTTTTATGAGCTTGTCTATTAAAATGTGGGGGTTGGATTGTGTCATACTATGTGTGTGTGTGTGTGTGAAGTAGCTGCAGGTCAGTGAGAGGTGGACCTTTGTCCAGTGTCGGCCAGCGGGTCATTATTTATTCATGCTGATGTATCTGACCGGCCGCCTAATTGCAGCAGGAGGAGCCCAATTACCCGCAGCGTCCTACAGCCGCACTGTCTCACATTCACAGAAACTGGAAGGTGGATCACATGTCAGCCATGACTAACGCTATGCGTCTTATTTACATTTGCACATCTCAGGTTAAACTCTGTAAACAAACAATGTTTGTGTCTGTTTGGATGCTCGTTGGTTGAGAGCAGACTTAAAGACATTTAAGAGAGAGACAGACTAAACATCAAGTGCTTGACAAGTGTTTGGTTTTGTTGCTGTGAGCATGGCGGACAAAGGTAAGGTTTTTATGCTGCTGTGTTTTTTTTGTGTTTTGTTTGTGTGTGTGTAACATGAGTACACACTACCCCCCCCCCCCCCCCCCCCCCCCCCCCTTTACAGTGGGCTCCAGTGAGGATGTGAATACGAGCTCTGTGACGGAGGAGATCTTCATCTCACTTGAAGACCACAGCCAGCCCACCAACAAGGAACCACTCTCATTTCTACCTCCTCTTCCTCATCTCTCATCTTTACCTTCACCAGGTGAGATACTATTCTGAATCTTTCAATATTTGATCTCATACTGAGGATATTTAATCATATTCAAACTATTTTCCAGTACAGTGAAATGATTCTTCATATTCCAGTGGTTGTACACTGATCTAATACACTGTATGGTGATAAAAGCTGCAGTTCAACACTGGACAATGAACAAGAGCTTTTATTGTGAAAAGAAAGACAAGGCTCTCAAATATACTCATGCAGCCTCAGGTTGCAGTCACCTATAGTTGAGCTGCTCAAGCCAAAAGACTAAACAAAGCAGCCGTCCAAATACTGAAACTTTATCCTAAAGTTAGGGTATGAGATAAAATGTCTGCTGACCAATATCTAAACCTTCTACACTTTTGGAACGAGCACCTAAAGGCACTGTAACTTGTAAATTTTCCTCCCTGGTGTTTTTTTTCCATGTGCATCTGGCGTCACTTTTTCCACCTCCTCTGACATCTCTTCCCTCGTTTCATGACATTTCCTTGTATTTCCTCTCTCCAATCTGCAACAAATTCCCCCAATCCCTCTTCCTGCAGTCTCCCCTCCATCCGATCAGGCCTACCTGCAAGCAGCAGCCATTTTCCAGAAGCTTCGGACAGAGAAGACAGTCACACGACAACTTCTGCATTATGGGAAGAAGACAGACACATCATTACCAGAGAGTGGAGACAAAACCACACAGAGACGGGCCTACCAACTCGCCTTCAGCACGCTCAAATGTATGAATTTCTGAAGTCTGTTGTTTTCGGAAATTATGGAAAATTACCTTAGATTTGAGTAGTCCCACGCACCCACTCTGGAGAGGACAGACTGACAGTTAAACAGTCAGAGAGAAATTAATTTGATCTACTCTACTGCTACCTCTGCAGACCTTACCCACCTCCTATAAGTAAGCCTTATCTCTATAATGAATAGAAGTGGAGCTGCAGCATGTGTCAACTCCAATATTCACTTTTGAATAGCAGCTTCAACTGCGGACTGTAGATTAAATAGTATATAGTCATACATTTCATTTCTCCATGTGACTGCAAATTACTTCAGCTGGAGTTACAGTCTGTATGGGAGGTGATAAGAGGCTACATGCCATGGATACACATGCACACACACACAGAAAGGCACAGTAAGCACACACAGTTTTACATACAGTGTTTGACTGCACATGTAGGGGGTTGCTGGTATCTAGCTATGCAGATTGTTTAGATTTTATTCGGCCAAGTGTGGAGATATCGCTCTCTGTGAGGTCTGTCACCACCTCAGTGGATTTGAATGGGCTTGCTGGTCTGTGAAAGCAGCGGAAAATGAAAATTTAAAACTTCACAGTGGGTCAAATTCACATCATGTGAAAGGAGTCACTTGTAGCGATGAACATACAGAGATTTATCACCCAACTTTGCAGATACCCCGGGCTTTACAGAGCATTTTTTACATTTTGACGTCTTTTAGCTCATTGTTTTGGTTCACTCTCACCACTCTCATCATTTCGAGCAGAAAAAAGCTCTGATAGACACACTGTACACACCGGCCCAGCAGCAAATGGTAGAGACTAAACATACCAGTAAACACAGTGGAGCATTTAGCAGCTAAAGAGCCAGATATTTTATTGAAGGATACAAAAACATGTCAAAAAGGAGAATATAATGAATTTTGGACTCCAAATGAATGATAATGTTGCTGCATGTCTGATGGATGTGCAACAAGCAGCTGTTTGCTAACATGATCATTATGACAACTTTAAGTAATAATATGTTGTCTGCTCTGCTGCCCCCAAGTGGCCCAAAAAACTAAATTTAGTTTGTTTCTATTCATTTTATTGTTTTTACCTCCTTTGTTGGGTATGTCCTTCAGCCTAATTTTATCTGTCTTGCATGGCATTCTTCTCGTAAAACACTTTCTTACCGCTGTTAAGAAAGGTGCTATATAAATAAGGCTATTGTTATTATTAATTCTGGTTTTATAAAAATCAGCATGCAGAAACAGTCTCCTCTGAATAATTGACAGATTTTTCATTGGAACTACTTTCTACTTAAGAAATAGTAAAAAAAAAAATAGTCCCTACGGTTGAAGACAAGGTCTATGGATCATCTGGAGTGAAAGAAATAGTGCTATCAAAATCTTTAATGCACATTTTCATTGCTGTAAAAACCATAAATAAACTTGCATTTGTTTTTATGTAATTTGGGTTAAGCTTAAAGGTTTCTCTTCATTAGCTTTAGTGTGTCTGTTGTTTTAATATTTTCTTTCTGTTCATTAACAACATTGTTTTCCTTTTAGACCAAGATTTACTGGAGGACATCATTACTGACAGCTGCTTCCAAACGTCTCAGCATATTGTGAGTCCCACCAGATTTGACATGAGTGGTCACAAACCAAAAACTGATTAAAAACACTTCAGCACTTACTTACCGACTGTTAAACTGTCTGGGAGTTATCTGTCTGCAAATAAACTAGCTGCGTTCTCGCTGTCCATACGAATGTGCTCCATCAGAATATGGTACAATGGTAGCGAGGGAGACGGAGGTGCAGTTAAAGGCCATTTGTATTCAGATCTGTATGTAGTCTGGCTGGTTATAGGTGACAAATGATGCATACAGGAGAGGGACAGACGCACTCTCCAACTGGGGGACTTTAAATGACACTATAAAACACTGTGCAATGACACATACATGGACAAAGAGACACAGACATGTGTGTGTATGTGTGTGTATAAAGGATGACTTTATTGAGGGATGGGTGAACCAGAGAGAATAGGCTGACAAGTCATTAGTCTGAAAGTATGACCATAAAAGCTGCCACACAGCTCTTTGTAATTCCATACAGCCCTTTTACTGCGACATACATATTATACCTCCCACCCACACACACACACACACGCACTGAGAAATGAAGTGGAGGAAGGAAAGAAAGGGAAGTGTGAGAACAGATCTGATCATTACTTTTAGTTTTCCTTAAAGCAGTTATTATCTATAGTTTTATATTAACAATGGATCACATGACTACTAATATAAAAGGAGTCTCTTGTAGTGATAAAACCACAGCATGTAGGTGTTTGTAGTTTGAAAAATAAAGCTTTAAAAAACCCACTGATCTCTACCTTCCCAGCATCAAACAGCAGTTAGACACTCACTGGTGAACATAGTGGAGCATTTTGCAACTAAAAGACTTTTCCCCTCAGGAGTTGTTGGACAGAAACTTAACTCCAAATGAATGTTAACGTTGCTCCACATCTGCTGTATGTATAAGCAACTGTTTGCTAACAAGTTCACTATCAACTTGAAGGTGATATTAGTATGTCAGTGATGCGTTTACAGCTTGTTTCCACTGCCCCCAAGTGGCCAAAAATCGTAATGCGGGTTTATGATGAAGACGATTACAAGCGACCATTTTCAGAGCAGAAATTTTGGCTTTACATAGCAGGAAATGTACAGACGTAATCGATAACATTATAAACAACTGGTTAGAGCTAGTTCCAGCGTCCTGGTGTGGTGAAAACAATATGACAAGTTAATTATTATCTATATAATGATGATGATGATGATGATGATGTTTTGCAGTCCAGCGACTTGTTGCCATTGGCGATGGTGATGCTGTTTGACTTCCAGGATCGAAGGTTTTTGTCGCATGAACGTTCATCAAAGGAAACGGAGGAGTCTCTGCAGGAAGTCAAGGATCTGCAGGGCAGTCTGCAGAGGTGTGTGTGGGTGTAGATGAAGTGTTAATATCATGCATTTAAGAGTTTATTTCAAATGCAAATTGTTTCATCATGTTATCTTTCTTGAATAGGAAGTAGGAGATACGAGATTGTGATCTGAAGTATGTTTGAAATGAACACAGGTGTAAGACCAAGCTGGCTGCATCTCTAGCTCGCTGCAGAGTGAAACAGAATCTGCAGAGCGTCTCCTGTTTTCTGTCTGATGCTGTCAGGACCAAACAGCACAGAGCAAAATGTCTGCCACTTTACGCATGGGTCAATACTCTGAAGACCAGGTAAACTCATACATACACATAAACACACTCAAAGAGAGGTACATGCAGTCACTTTCACACAAATTTATTCTCTATTTGCACTCCAGTGTAGCTGCTAATCCAAGTCTTTTTGTATGTGCTATTGAGTGCCTGCATTTAAGAGCATATTGCACTTATTCAATTATCTGACTTTTCTGCAGTCAATGGCTCCCCTCTGTTCTTCTTTGTGGCATTATCCAGACTCCAGGCATAGTCTGTACGGGTATAAACCAGCAGGGATTAGTGTTTGACTTTAACAGAGTGGGTCTTTATGAAATGACTGGTACACTGTGAGTTTAAAGTGACAGTTCTGTGTAGGGGGAGTTGCAGTACGAGGTTAATGTTCAGTGAAGTCTGCTAGGGCGTATCTGAGACAGGAAGGATTCTTACAGCTTGAGAAAAGGAAGTGCTCCCGTTGATGTAATTCTAAATGCTGCAGCACCGTTCACCAGACAACGGTGGAGTAAACAGTCCTTGATTTGGTCACTGATGCAGTAGAGCCACAATATTTGTTTTAAATATCCTCTACCGCATGTGGGGGAGGGCAATGGTGTTAAATAAAACATGTTATCTCCCCCCTCCTGTGTAGCGCTGAGGAAGTGTGTGAAGTCTTACAAAGCGCTGGTTTGTCTGAAGTGGAGAACATGACCGACCTCAGAGAGTCAACATTCTGCAGAGACCCTCTCTGTCCAGACACACTCGTCTTCTCCCAACAGCTTCATGCTCTGCTCCGGCACAGCAGCCTCGCAATCACACATGTACTTAACTCACAGGTACATATGAATATGTGTGTGTAGTGAAGTGTGTGATTGAGCTAAACATAGCCAAATCACTAATGAGAAACGTCTCTCAGGAGCAGGCTTTTGAAGATAATTGGTACAAGACTGACCGATAGAAAAAGTACTTCAACTGATTCTTCCAAGTGCTGGTTAATAAAGCTACTTGAGTATAACTGTTTGCAGTTGGAAAAATAGATATTAAACAGTGTAAATCCAGATACTCTTCTAATCTTAACTGGCCATTTATTTATTCATTACAAATGGCTCCAATATCCCAGCTTCTCTACTTATGGAGGATCAAGAACATTTGTTTTATGTATAACCACTTTATTGGAGTACACTTCTTCATTAAGCTAAGTAAAAGGAAAATTACTGGTGATTACTTGATTTAAAGAGCCCCCAATATGTCCCCAAACTGCTTGCTGGAAGTTGCCCAATTAAATAAACAGGAGGAAATGAAGTGAATTGCTTCAATCGTTGACTAATAGTCCTTCTTAGACTAAAGCTTCACTTCACTGCTGTGAGACAGATTACATAAAAGTTTTCCTCTTTACAAAATGGCCTTTGCAATTGGATTTCTTGTAGTGTTGTAAAGTTTAAAGTGGTGTTAAAGAAGTTTGCTGTTGTCTTGAGGAGCAACACAGCGGTCTATAATGCTGGTGGACACAGTTTTTTCAGTCCTCCACATGTGTGAATAAACGCATTTGCACCTGGATGTTTGTCTCTTTTCAGGACCGGAGCGTGTGTGTGGCAGTGAGTGTGTTACGCCCCCTGCTGTTTGAGAACGGTGACGTGCTGGTGGTGGGATCTTTCTCTGCTGTGACTGTAGCTCACATAAGTGTCGTGGCCGCTGCCCGCTCTGGCCGGGTGTTGGTGTGCGGTGCTGATCACACACCTTTACAGATAGAGGAGATACAAGAACTACTCACACAGATGGACATCAAAAGTGAGTGACCGTAGAGAGAAATATTCAAAAAGTCAGCTGATTTTTCTATCTCTTATGAAAGTATATTGGACCTTTATTTCAATTTCAACCTACTGTGCATACTCGTGACTTTCCTGATGCAAATTCATGTCCAATGTAGATGTGCGAGTCCTGTCTCAAGCGTTCTGTGGTCTGGATGAGTGGGATCAAGCCGTCCAGCGTTTAAAGGTCATCATAGTGCTGCCTCAGTGTTCGTCCTCCGCCCTCAATGACCCTGTGCCTACCATCCACAGTGAACATGGAGGTATGTCGCACCACGGAGGAAGGATGGAAGAGAGAGGAACAGACCCTTTTCCAATGTCCCCCCTAAGACTTTAAATAACGTCACATGCATCAGTATACCTCAGAGAAGGAGTATTTATTGTCCCTCAAGGGGAAATTTTATTTATAGTAGAGGTCAAAAACACAAACACAACGTACAAGGGGACATGGGACATTAGTCACAACCATTAATGACATTTAAAACAATACAAACAAGACATGACAAGACCAATAATGCTTGTTGCTACTGGTGTACCTCAATGACACTAAGGGGACTCCAAATGTTGTCGCAGGAGTGGGAGAGCACTTTCTGAAATCATATGTCACCTGGACAGAGGCTTTCTGAGACCAGTAAAGTGCCCAGCCATTGTTTTTGCATTAGAATAATATGAATTGTGGGTAATCACGTCAAGAACGTCTGCAGAGTTTGCATATTTTTATTTGACAGTGACAGGGAAGGGTAAGAGGGGGGAGATAGAGAGTAAGTGGATGACACACAGCAAAGGGACACAGGTGAGAGTCGAACCCATGGACACTGCAGCAAGGTATGGAGACTGTGACACAGCCATGTAAGGAAGATTTAAAATGCCTGAGAAACAAATAAAACATGAAATAAATAGAAATACTATATTTCTATTTATTACGCAGATGCATTTCCTTTTATGTGCCTTAACTAAGACACAATTAAAACTGTGATTGTCTGTAGTTTTAAGGGATGAATTGTGCTGCAGGAGGTAACACTTAGGGCAATCTTCTAGACACAATTCTTAATAACTCGCCATCTTCTTTTCCTCCTCCATCCAGTAAGCTGACACAACCTAACTAACACTAATTAGCTGTCAGCACTTTTGGAGAACTGTGCCAACAAGATCCCTCTTACGGACCTGGGAACTGGGCCATTAAAGAATGTGGATAGAAGAAAGAGCTCAGGGATGGGAAAGTTACCAAAGAAACATGTCCCAAATAAAATATCACCCAATAGAAAATAAAATATTCTATAAATATTAATGATAATATGAGGAGGTGGTGTCTTTTCATTAAATTTGCCAAATATGATGAAATAAGTTTAATTCTGTTGACAGACTGGGATCTACTACCAGACCTGTCTCACGGTTGTGTATCCCTGAGCAAAATACACACAATGGCAACCCAGCAGGCACGACTACTAGCGCACGC